GCTTTGAACAAGTAGTAGAAATAGGCATAATGTAGACAGAGTTGAAAACTCTTCTCCTAGTCTTATCGCTTCGTCTCTGCCACCCAAGCTCCCTAGTGTTTTTTACAAAAATATTATTTAGGGGCCGGGGATTTAGCTCAGTGGTTTTGTAGCCTGCTGTGCAAGCCCAAGGACCCGAGTTTGATCCCCGGTACCAAAAAATATATATATATATATTATTTAGGGCCTGAGATATAGCTTAATGGCAGAGCAAATGCTTAACATGTAGAAAGCCCTAGGTTTCATCCGCAGTATGGCAATAGGTACACACCTGTGATCCCAGCTACTTGGGAGACTGAGGTAGGGAGATCACGGTTTGAGCCCAGCTGGGGAAATTTAGAGAGACTGTGTCTCAAAATAAAATAAAATGGAGCAGGGATGTAACTCAGTTGTAGAGCACTTGTCTATCATGTGTGAGGCCTGGGTTCAATTCACAATATTGCAAATAGATCTATCTATCATCTATCCATCTACCTATCATCTACCTGTCATCTATCTATCTTAGCAGATTGAGAGAAAAAGTAAGTACAATGTACAGAGTGTTCCTATACATTCCCCAACCAGTTTTTCCTACTGTGAACATTTTACATTAGAGTGTTACACTGAATGAGCCCATATCGATACATGATTAATAATGGAAGTCTGTAGTTTACATTAGGGTTCATTCTTGGTGCGGTACATTCTGTGGGTGTTGACCAGGGAATGATGACATATATCCACCCTTACACTAACATACAGAGAACCTCCACACACAGCTCTAAAATTCCTCCATGTTCTGCTAATCTATCCTCCCTTCTCCCCAAAAAAACCATGAAAATCATTGATCTTTTTCTTGTCCCTGCAGCCTTGCCTATTTGAAAAGGTTATAGTTGGAATCATACAGAAAGTAGCCTTTTTGGACCAGGTCTTTAACTTGGAAATATCCATTTAAGATTCCTTCATGACTGTTCAAGGCTTCCTAACTCATTTCTTTTCATTATGGAAAACACTGACTATCTGGATGTACTACACTCTGTTTAACCATTCACCTATTGAAGGTCATCTTGTTTGCTCCCACATTTTGGCAATTATGAATAAGGCTACTATAAACTTTCACGTATGGGTCTCTTTGCCAATATGAATTTTTAGTCCATTTGGGTAAATACCAAGGAGTCTGATTGCTGAATCGTAAAGTCAGAGCATGTGTTTTGTCATAAATTTCCAAACTGGCTTCCTACCCAGCACCTTTGCTGGTGGTTTTAATGAACATATTACAAGCATAACAGGTGCTTAGCAAGAATGAAGACCCAGATCCTGCCTGTGGGTACTGGTAGCCACCAAGGCAAGAGCTGTCTCCATCAGGAGGATCTCAGGTCACTTAAGAGGATGGACTTGACCACTTGACTGGGCTACAGGGCTTTCTCTTCACTTGGCAACCGACTTGCTCTGTAACCTCTGGGGAACTATTTAACTGCTTTCTGCTTCAGTTTTGTCAACTGTAATTAGACTTGGTAACACCATTCAGACACTAGAGTTCCAAGAATTACCTGTGATATTCCATGCATGTCTTCCCACGGCACTTGGCATAAGCAAGTGCTCAAGAAATGTTAGCCATTTTAGCATATTATATAAACAAGCATCTCCACACCCACCCATCAAATAGCCAGTACATTTTTTAGGAAGGAATTTGTGTGACAGTACATTCAAGAGCACTAATGACAGAACAAATTAATACACTGTGAAATCTGGTGAGAAAAGAAAAATGCATGTGAGCTAAAAATAAAAGAAAACACAACTGGAAAAGAAACCTCATTGAGTGAATTTGCTTCTTCCTCCAATATCCTGGTCCAGGGAATAAATTCCTTCCTCTACTCTCAGCCCTAGGTTCTTATTAGTAGCTGGCTAGTGTAGAATCCTCTCGGGTGAGTCTAGAATTATGAAATATTCTCTCCCTGGTGACCTGCCAAAGTCTGCTCCACAAACACCTAGGCTAACTGGCACCAGCACACTTGAGCAGACTCCTCGCCCTGAGGGCCTGACTAAAGCTCGTGTTTTTCCTTTTCTCAGACAGCTCCACAGGCACGTGGGAGGAGGGTCAAATTAAGCAATCTACATGGGGATTTAAAAAAAATTTTTTTTGAGCAGTTCTTACGTGATGACATGATGATATGCGTTGACAATGAAAACTAAATGCAGCACAGCTGTATCTTCTTCATATTACATTTTAGAGATTAAACTAAAAACAAATTCTCTCTTGTGCATTCCTAATTAATAATATATGCCTCCCCACTGTCCCAACACACCAGTGGGAATGGAAACATCGGAGTGTGTCTACCAGCTGATTTACCCTCCTGATATCAAATAACTAGTTTTCCTGTTTTAACTGCATGAGTAGAGTTTAAGTGTCATGAGGTCTGTTCGTACGGAATTTTTTTAAACTAAGAGTAAACAATGAAACCTGATAACTTATGCAGGGTGAATGGCCATAAGGCAGGAGCTCACTCGTATGAGTTGTATCTGTATTAATATCACATGACACTAAGGACATAGTTAGATCAAAATATGGTTTAATAACTGGGAGTCTAAAATGCGCAGCAAAGCTCAGGATCCTGCGTAAGAATTACAGACAAGGTGGGCACAAAAAGTTGAAACACAAGAGATGCAGATCTATCTGAGTCCCCCAAAAGGGTAGCCACAGCCAGGATTTAGGATTGTCCAGCCCCTCAGCTGTGTGGGAAAGAGAGTTGATAAAGGGCAAGGGATCAGAATAGGTGGAGTCTTTCTTGTGTGTCTCCCTTGTCTCACTAAAGCAGCGATCCCCCTCCCTTTGGCACCAGGAACTGGTTCTGTAGTGGCCAGTTTTTCCACAGATGGGGGTGGGGATGGTTTAAGGATGACTCAGAGGAGCCTGCAACTTAGATCCCTGGTGCAAACGGTGTACAGCAGGGTTCATGCTCCCATGGGACATCTGACAGGAGGTGAAGCTCAGGAGGTAATGGGAGTGCGGGGGGGGGGGCGCTGTAAACATGAAGGAAGCTTCACTTGCTCCTTGCCCACCTGCCACTCATCTCCTGCTGTGCTGCCCAGGACTGGGTCCTTGGCCCAGAAGTTGGCAGGTCTCTGCCGTACAGTATCTATGACTGCTCCCGGCACTGTTACTCAAGAGCTGTGAGCAAAGGAATAGGAAAGATTTAACCGACAGCTGGAACTCCCACTCTACATTTGCTTTGGATGTACTAGGGCCCAGGGAAGCCCCTCTGCTTTTCTAGAACTGAGAAGTCCAGTGAATCTGAATAATGACTAACAGCACAGAATCCAGATTCAGACACTGGACTTGGAGTCTTGGCTCTGCTTGCTAGCTCTACACCCTAGGCAGTTCTCTAAACCTCAGTTTTCTTGGCTCTAGAATAGAAATAATAAGACTATCCCTCCTCTCACTACTGAAGGATTATACAAAATAATGGTGATTAGCAGCGACTTTCTTGCATAGCAGTTGCTTAGTCTTTGTTGTTATTGAGTTTTTCTTGTCCTCACTGCTATTCTGAGTCAACTACTCCCATTATAGAATATTTTTCTATCTGAAGCAGGAAATAGGCAGGGAAGAGGTTTATAGCAGAGTGCAGGCCTGGACACTGGGGCTGGGTATTTCCGCACCCTTCGATGACACCAGCTGTGCTGAATCAGCCATTTAATTCTCTTTTTGAGGATCGTCTCTGCAGGAGGCTCCCGGAGGAGCCCCAGCGAGTGTACAAAGGTACAGGTGATCACAATGTTACCTCTGCCTGACCAGCACCTCACCCGTGCAGAAAGACTCCAAGCTGTCCAGTTAAAGCTGCTTCCATGTAAAATTCCCTTCCAGACCAAACACTTCTTCACAGTAAAAGCCTCGCTTGTCTAATTCTGCATTTATGCACGTATTATTCTATTCCTTGTCCTCCTCAAAACGTATATAGTGTTTAATAATATAACTTCAGTGTCCAGTCTCTTAAAATACGATCTGCAAACTGCTTTAAAATATGAATGAACAAAATGTTGTGCTCTATATGCCCCTTGAAGAAAACATCATTCCAAAAGTTTAGGAATATATTTGCCTTAAGCATGAAGCTATAACTGAATATCACTTATTCCTTTGAATCTAAAAAAAATCTTTCTGCCACTGTGGACACGTGACTGAGTCATGGCTATTTGGAAACCCAGCACACATTCTTTGCTATAACTTTATTTGTGTGTGGGGGGGGGTGTCAATAAAAAGGTGTTAAGGGACTAGAGTCTACAGTGGTAAAGTGCTTGCCTAACATGTGCAACACCCCGTATTCGATCCTCCGTACCATGGGGAAGAAAGCTGAAGCCAAAACCTGCATGACAGTATACAAACCGACTCCGACTCCTCCAGTCAAGCTCTAGAAGGTATTCTGACATTTGCAAAAGAGAAGCTACACCTCTAATATTTCTCCTAGCCATTTCCTTTGTTAGGCCAAACGACAACAACGAAAGCACAGTTAGAAGCTCCACTTAGATGGACACGCTCACATGGGGCCATGTCTGTTAAGCTGGGAAGCTGAACTGATTCGGCAAGATTTAGAGGGATCTGAGAGGAGGACGACGGAACCCAGGCTGTGTTCCCTGTGGGTAACCGGTCAGGCCTTCATCAAGTAGATATGCCAAGCTCTGCTAAGGCCTTCCCAGCACATTTTCTTTACTACTGGAAGCCAAATGCCCTCTAGTCTGCTTTCGGCTGTAGAGATACGGTGGAGGATGAGTAAAAGGACTGAGACTTTGATCTCTAGGTATGATCCAAACCATGCAAGTATCTTTCCGTATCGATAGGAGGATGGGTACAGGATGACGACCTTGACCATTAGTTTCCTCTTATTGTCAACACGGTCTCTCCTTTGGGATAGAAAATCTGGGTGAATTTTTATGGCTTTTATTGCTTTGACGACCAAAAAGAGTTTGGGGGTTGTATTAAAAACATTAAGTACCTGGAAAAGATGTTTGTCATGATATCTCTAAGTTGCAGGTGCTTGGTGCTGAGAAGAGGACCCTTAAAGAAAAATCCCTCCACACCTGTGGACTGAGTCGCACTGCCAGTTCTCCAACACGGTGGCCTCCAGTCCAGCCAGCCAACCTCCTAACGGCCCACATCACACGCTCGGGTCTCTATTTAGAAGGGTGACAGGGATATAGATATCACATATGTTCCTGAATTTCTAACATTCTTTTCTTTTAAATTCTAAACATACTTCAAGAGGTTTTACTATAATGATTCCAACTCTGCTAATCATTATTCATTTTAAGAAAAAGAAGAGTATTTATCTTTTTCACCCTACTGGAGATCAAACCCAGTCCCTTACATGTATTAGGCAATTACTGTAACACTGGGCTGTATCCCTCAGCCTGTCCATCCTCATCCCAGCTAAGCAACTCTCTACAAGTACTAGCATTTGTTTTATCTTCAAAACAACAGCCTTACTCCAAGCCATGATGTCCTCATTGGAGAAATCTCCACCTAGACCACTCCCCTCCAGCCCTAATGGACTTCCTTCAGCTCCTCTGCTATTGGCTGTTTGTACTTTGTGGATGATTTTTCTTTCTCCTAAATCCCTTGGCCCATACCTACCCATCCTTCGTGTGTTGATTTTGACATAATTTCTCATAGGAAACTTCCGAAAACTTCCCACCTACGCTGGGTGTTCCTGTTTGTATTCTCCTAGTTCTTTATGATTATTTCTACTATAATGCCCTTTTGTTTGCTTGGTCCTACTTTGCAAGATCAAGACTAACTGTCCTGTTATTTTATCATGGTGTCTAGCTCAATATGCACACGTGGTGGTTGCTCAATAATCTTTAATAAATGCCAAAGAAGGCAGAGGGTGAAGGCAGGAAGGAGGAAATGAGGAAAAAGGAGAAGATGGAAGGAAATGAACAAAGTAGACAGCAAGAGAAAAGGATTAAGGCAGGGCCATTCCCTACTTGTAACACTCCTGCAAATGTCCTTTCCCTTCCTTTCTTACTACTTTCTCCATTTTCCTCTCTTCCCCCAAATTCCAAAATTAAAATAAAATGAAAATCAACCCTGCCTCAGCAAATACCCCCATTTGAACCTTAGATTTGTTTTGTATGTTTGCTTGTTGTTTGGTAGTGTGTGTGTGTGCACATGTGTGTATGCACATGCGCATGTGTGTAATTCTGCACCCTGACTCCACAAATTCAATTATATTACAAAGGTCAATTTACTTGATAAGCACGAAGTACCAGGTCACTCTCACATACATCTCACTTAATAAATGACAAAATATTTTTTCTTAAGATATAATTTTTATTTAAAATTTGAAAATCTTATAAAAGCTTTCTTAAGTTACCAAGTAATTCCATCTTAATACTGTAAAATGAATTAAAAGGGGATACTGAAAATATTACTGGGAGGTTAAAGGGAGAAGAGGAATATTTGGGAAAAATCTAAAGACAACATGGTGTTTGGATAGCTACATTTTTTTGTTTGTTTTACTAAAACTAATCCTTGAGGTATTCTTTTATTTAACAAAATAGATGTGTGTTCTATTTGATAAAAAGATTTATTCCAAGGAATATGGAAACTAGAACAAAGATATGCCAAAGTTCCTTTCACAATTTTCTCAAGGAATGAAAAGTATCCCAGGTAGGGCTGAGGGTGTAGCCCATTGGTCAAGCACTTGCCTAGCACGAGTGAAGCCCTAGGTTCAATTCCCAGCACTGCAGAAAATATATACCTACATACACGCATACATACATACATACATACATACACCCTCAGCTATATAATGCTGTAAGGGGGTAATATTGCACTGTATATGAGGAAGTCTTTCAAAAGAAATTTTCCATTTCATTTGATGAATCACCCATTTTTGTACAGAGCAATCAAGTGAGTGTAATACAATAGCATTCTGAGGGGGAATAATGAACATTCATTTGGATTATCATCTTCGTCTCTCACTGCCACACCTGAAGAAATGTAGTGCAGAGATGGCTGAGTTCAGGGTAGGGCAAGAAAACTGAGTGTCGTATAGATTCGTTCATGATGGGAGATTTCAAAAGTTAGAATTACTAACTCTGGACTAGAAAATAAGAGAGATTTACTTAGGCATTAAGATAGGTACTAGACAGTAAAACTGATAGATCCTTATTCCATTGTCCCATAAGAGGCTGGACCACTCAGAGAAGTTAATGCCAAGGAAATTTGAGGCAAGTATAGGAAATACTTTTTCACCTGCTGGAATTCATGCTGAAGAATTTGCTGCCTCCAGCAGTCATAAAATCAATCACTGAGTTGGATTTTTCAAAGGGGCGGGATAATGTATGACCTGCTCTTCTGGCTAGTTGGGTAGGAGAGAGACAATCAATTCGCCTGCTGCTGGAAGATCACAGTTGATTACAAGTGGAGTCAGCACAAGGATGTCTCCCACCCTTGATCAGGATAATTAAGAAGTGTTTGCCCAAGGAAGATGGTGGAAATGGGATATGAGGAGCGATGACCTGGCCCCATATAACGGTTTTTTGAAACAAAAACAACACAAAAAATGAATTCCCTGAACTAATGAATGATATTCTTAAAATCTTTTTTATGCCAACAAATTTTTTCCTAATATAATATGACATGATTTTTTGCTTTGTTTTGTTTCATTTTGTGTTTTGCAGAACTGGAGATTAAATCCAGGTATTTCATGCTAATATATATTTCCATTATTTTTTTAAGTTTTAATTTTTTTTCCTTGGGGAGTGGGGATAGGGTCTTCCCAAGTTGCTAAGTTGCCCAGTGTGGGTGCAAACTCGCTATCCTCCTGTCTCAGCCTCCCAAAGCACTGGGATTACAGGCATGAGCTATCATGCCCAGCTGATGCGATGTTTTTAATTTTGAATCTGATTCTCCCTCCAACCAGTATTCTGAGTACATCTGTCAAATTTGAAAACAGTTAATGCGATGACCATTTTCCTACCACTGGAGAGTAGAGTTCAGTTGAAAAGTGAGCACATTGCAAATATTAACAAAGCAATGGTAATTTTGAGGTTGTCATGTTGAGTGTCAGTAATAAAGTCCTTTGATAAAGTCGTCTCTGTTTAAATTCAGCCTTTCCTTTAAAAAATAAATTAAAGTGCTATTACCTTCCCCCATCTTACATTTTTGTTTTCTTCTTTGAAATTGTGATGTAGTTTCCAAGACTTCACTTTGTGCTTCAGCAGATGCATCAAAAGCCATACTGCACCCTTGGCATTCTAATGTATGGGCTTCTGAAAGAGAGACTAAAACAGACATGTCAGATACGGGAGCAAAAGAATGTCACACAGTTTACTAAAAAGGGAAATTTTGTTGTCAAAAAATTACACAACAAAGTAAAATCCTGAATAAGCTGAATAAGTCAAGATAAAACCTTGCCTTTGAATTTCAGAGAGAGAGAGAGAGAGAGAGAGAGAGAGAGAGGTGCTGAAAGGGCAAAGAAAAACACATCATCTGTAGAGTACCAGCCAGGAGGTGTCATTGGCTTTAAGGGACAATGACCAGCCCCATGACAAATGACTACAACTTACAATAGTCCCTATAATTTGGAGCTTAAGAACATTCTCTTCCCTCCAGTGCTGGGGATCAAATCCAGGGCTCCATGCATGCTCGAAGTGCTATACACCTAGTACCCACCCTTTTCTTATGAGTATGTTTCATTTGAATATTGTCCCAACCTTCTCCCAAATAAATCAGTCTATGCCTTAATAGGAATGTCAGGGGAGTTTTCTCTAGTTGCCATGGCACTGTGTTGAAAACTCTACAAGCATTCCAGCCTCACACACAGGTATCTAAATACTACAAATGTTCTTTGTGGAGGGGACAAGCTCTGGATTCAGGCAACCTGGAGTCCAGCCCTGACTCTGTCTCTCATTAACTAGGTTCCCTGGGGAGATTAACTCCCTTTGACTCAATATCTTTTCCCTTAATATAGGCAGAGGCCTACTGTCTACATCATAGGATTACAATAAGTTTATATCAATATACGGTAACTGCAACTATGCCTGGCACATACTAAATTTGCAGTCATTATTTTCATTCGGTCTCCAGAAAGCCTGGGTGGTGAGGAAATGTATCTGTCGCTTGGAAGGGAAAGGGGTACAATGGGAGTCACCTCTGCTTTCATAGGTTGGAGAGTAGAATGGGAGTTTTCATTGTTACACTCACTCCTTTATCAGGCCCTACTCTTTCTTATGTCCCTTTATTACCAGGTTTCTGCTTGGATTCTGCAGTCCATAAGCCCACTAAGTGCACTCCCTCTTACTGCTCTTGCGTCTTCTGTTTCCTAGGCTGAAACAGTTACCCTTCCTTCTGCCACCAAACTCTGACTTGGCCGAATTCTCACCCCTGTGTCAGCTCTCTGCATAGGGGTCACCATCTCTGAGAACTCTCAGAATCTACTATAGGCCTCCAGGTACCTGCCCTACACCTTCATCACCCTCGGTCCTTTGCGTACTTTCTTGTATCTGTCATTAGACTGGAACTCCAGGTGACAAGAATTTGTTCTCATTCCTTCACTGAGCTCCATTTCTGATACACTGCTCAATGGTCTTGGAAGGATAAAAGGAACAACCCAGGCCACCAGAAAAGCCTTCCCCTTCTCAAAACCTGCCCTTTGGTTCCATCTGCCTCAACTCCACAAAGCACCTGTGATCAGTCCTCCCAAATGAAACTCATGTTTTGACCACCATATTTAAAACCTATACCACAGAATAACCAGTGCTGGAGTTGTGCAGAAATAAGCAATCTATCTTTCATGAAACTAATACTGGGAAAACCTATACTGAGTATGAATCGGGAGAGATTCAAAACAAATAAGATGAAAGAAATAGTGTCCATGGGTCTTATCTAGTCTACAATAAAAGATCGAAATGAGTTTTTGTGCTTTTTTTTTTACATAAGTCTAAATGTCATTGTTTAATCAAACTGCAGATTGCATTTATCTTTTAGAATATACAAACAAGTCTTAATTTATAATCTCATGAGTACGGTACCTGCACACGATACTTGTGGCTTTGTAATGGACAATGAGGAAGGGGGGAAAAACAACTAGAAGGGTGCAGAGTAAATAAATAACCTACAGAGGCAATTCACCCTCCCATTTTACCTCTGCTTCAAAGATGCAGTTAATAGAAGTAGGAGCATGGTGCGACGCAGATGAATGATTCGTTTATTTATTTTTGTTTATGGAGGTTGCATCAGCATTCCAAGATATATAATGATAATAATATTAACTGGCATATCAAAGCAAGAACAAGATTCTAAATGCCTGCTAACAGCTATCTGGGCATTATTTCATTTTATCATTATAAGAATCTTATGAGGTATGGAATTATTTAGCAATACAAAAGAATAATACTTGAAGCCAAGTGATTAAGAAATTTACCCAAGGTCACACAACTAGCAATCAACAGAGCCTGGCTTCAAGCCCTGGGTCATTTGCGTCTAGAGTTCTTCCTCTGAGCTTCTAGCCAATACAGAACACCCTCACCCCAAACTAGATAATGAGATGTAGAGAGAAAAACCTGGGGCCTAGATCTAAAAACTGCATCAATTATTGCTCATATTCAGATCTCTATTTCATCATCAGTGATATAAGAAGAATCATATTATTATCTCCCTACTTCCCTCCAAAGCTTCCATGATAATGGAGTGAGATAGCTCACATGGAAGAAGTTAGGAAACAGGAATGTGCTACACAAATATCAGCTGATGTTTGCTTAGAAGCATGTTCTGTTGGTGTAATTATGTGAGTTTAGTTGTTACTTAGTGAGTATTTTACATGTGACAGTTGGAAAGGAGTTCCACCCAAGCCAGATGTGAAAAATAAATGTAAATGATCGACCTCACCCAAATGAGCCAACTGTTCCAACTTGAAGGAGGAAATGGCTGTCCCTTAACCATACTGGCTGCATTCCAGGCTTGAAGAAACAGTAATTGGCACTCATAAAAAAATAAGACATAAACATAAAGTTCCCAATCCGAAATAGTTGTGCTTGCAACCATCACTGCCTATAGACTAGGCATGGCTGAGTAACAGAGAATACCTGGGTATTTAAAAAAATTATCTAAACAACAGACTATTCTCTCTATATTTACTCATCTATTAGGGACTCATTACTTAAAAAAATTTTACAACCTGTACACACACACCCCAAAATATTTTTCTATGAAAAATGATGATATCCACATGTTGAAAGGAAAAAAAAAAGAAAATGTAGTCTTAAAGAGAAGGCAACATAAAAATCTTAACTATCAGAGTTTTCTACCTGTTCTTAGCATCAAAATCTTTATCATCAAATAAAACCCTCATCTACAATGATTTCTTTTTGCATGTGTTGCATACTCAAGAATACAGTTGCATATTAAAATACATATCCATAATTTTTTCTAACATCCATTCTCCCATTTACATCATAACACTTTATTTTTCCTGACTCCACTTATTGGTTCCAGCAGTAAGTGAGAGGGTGACCTATACCTGGCCAAGTGAAATGATAGTGATTTTTCAAGTCTGGACATGCGAACCCAGCTGTCTGGATACTAACATGGGCTGTTCAGTGAAATTATTGGGAAAAAGCCTAACCTGTTAAGATATAACTTTTGAAATGCTAGTAGACATCTTTGCTGCCACATAAGGAGAATGTACTTGAGAGTGAATCTAAAACAAAGGAAAGCAGAGCCAGAAGATAAAAATAATACTCTCCTGTTGGCATTATTTACTCACTTAGCTCATCCTCTAGTCTTTGCCAGTATGTGAGTCAGTGGGTTCTCTTATTATGTGAGCCCCTAGTGAGACTCTGTTACTCAAAACTAAAGTAAAAAAGATACATCATGTACAGGTACAAATTCCCTATGATGAATGTGATCATTATGTATATCTAAATTGTACCCATAAAATTAATTTTTTAAATGAAGTCAAACTCCCTAACTCAAGGAGATGTGGCAGTTATAAAAATTTCTATAGACTATGTACATGGTCTTTGTACAGCAGCTTCCTTGAAATGAGAATACAAATAAAAAGCAAATTTGTAGAGCTAGAGTTACTCTGTTCCACTCTCCTCTCCTCTTCTGTTGATTATTCCAGAACGCTGAGCATTAGCCCAGCACACACAGAGTGCAAGAATATGACAGGTACTCTTCTAATCTTACATTGTTCTTACAATTATTAGTCCCACTTTACCATTGTGGAACACCAAAACAGCAGAATTTTTTGCAAAAGACATTCCAACACTGAAGATATAACTTGAACGTCAATGTAATTCCTTCCAGATGTCACTATGTGTTGTACTTTTATCAACATGAGACTCTTCCAAAGGCATCTTAGATTAAGACTCAAATTATATTCCTCATCCTGCCACTAAAAAGCCATTGAAGCCTGGAGAAAATCATGTGATTATTCTTTTCACATAGGAAATCTACAATCCCAGGAAAGAAAGGTGAAAATAATTGATTTGGTCTATCATTGGTTTTAAGGTTCATGCCTTTGGATGCTAATTCTAAGGATGCCAATGACTGACTTTGTGAGCTTAGGCACATCATATCACTGCCTTATGTAGGTATAAAATGAAGTTAGTGACACTAAATCTACTTATCTCTGATAAATTATGTGTGGAATAAATGAGAAAAGATATTTAAGAAGTTTAAGAGCCTAAGTATATGCGGAACATTGTTACTGGTAATAGTAGCAGAAATAATAATAGTAAATCTCAAAAATTCACACTTGCCTAAGAGATAAAAACTTCCTTCATCACGACAATAGAAGATCTGACCTGGAAACCACAGTGGGTGGTGATAGTTCAATTATGCTTAATGCTTTCTTCCACATTCTCGATAGCTATGCAAAATTTCTGTGCCACTGACTCCCATATAGGAGAGAATTAGCTACTATCAAAGAACAATGGAAACAAATTCTTATATCAAAAGACATATTTTAGTCTTGGCTCTGGCACTAGCTTACTTTGCCACTTAACATGCCAGCAACTTCCTTTAGCCCTGTTTTCTACAAAACAAAGAGACTGAATCGTGTAACGTGATGACCACTCCAGGTGTTCACTGATGTTCAGTGCTCCGCTGTTTTCTAAGCACACAGAAGACTGCATTTCTCAGGCTACTTGTATTTATGCTCAGCCAAGTGATGAGTTCTAGGCAACAGGGTAAGAGCAAGAAAGACATGCATGGCTCTGGGTGTCTTTAATGTACTCTTCATTGCTGGAGGGGGGGGAGGATACTCCTAATCTGAGAT